CTGTTTGAAAAGACCAAGGAACATTAACATGTTCACCACTGATTTTGCCACATGAAACTCATCCCCCTCTTCGGGGCCTGAAGCTGCTGTCTCTCCAAGTGCCATCTCCAAGTGCTTCCTATCAGTCAGTGCTGGAGAAACCGTGAATACCTACGTACAGAAACTTTCTTGACATGTCATATTACTCTGAAACATTGCTTCTTTGGGGTTGGGTGGGGGGGCACAGGTCACCCCATCTGGCTGTGAGTTCTCTTTCCGGTCTGTAGGCTTGCAGTGTGCTGATCTTTTAAAAGTCCTCTCCCTGCCCAGTTCCCCCTTTTGGTGAGGTTTCTGTGAGGTCTGGTAGGTATGCATCCTGCAGCGTAGTAGCTAAAGTGCACTCTGCTTTGGTGTGGTCTCATTTGGGGGCTGACAGAAACCAATAAGGAGAGAGAAACCAATAGTCCAACTGTTTTGATACTGAGAATTGACACGTGTCTTTTTGAAATAAAGAACCAGTCCCTCCAACCCTTTGGCCTCTTCTCTTATTTACTAACCCAAACGGGCGTTCTCTACGGGAGCTCTAAGGTCTGGGTCAAAAAGTAGGTTTGGGTGGGTGATCACAACGCAGTGTAGTAGAGCTGCTGCATGCACTTGAGAGACACTGAAACTGGGTTTAAAGCTAGGTTCTGAAAATCCTGCTGGACCTCCGGCCATAGACCACGTATGTTTCATCATCTGTGAAGTAAGCGTGGTATCAGTGTGTCATCCAAGCCTCCAGCCACATCTTTTGTGAAAGGGCCCTGGAGGCGAGGTGGAGTAAGCATTGTCTGCTTAACCACAAAGTCAGTTGGTCAAACCCAACAGCTGCTCCTTGGGAGAAGGTGAGACTCCATTCGCGTTGAGATGTACAGCCTTGGAAACCTGAGGTCGCATTGCTGTAAGTTGGAATCAACTGGAAGCCCTAGAGCAGCGGTTCTCAACCTGTGGGTCTCGAGCCCTTTGGGGAGCGAACGATCCTTTCACAGGGGTCACCCAATTCATAGCAGTAGCAAAATTGCAGTGATGAAGTAGCAACGGAAATAATTTTATGGTTGGGGGTCACCACCGCATGAACTGTATGAGAGGGTCTTAGCATTCGGAAGGTTGAGAACCACTGGCTTAGAGTTTTGGTTTGTGCGTGTCGTGTGTGTTTGTGTGTGTGTGTGTGTGTGTGTGTGTGTATAGTCAACTTCCCTGCCACAGCCTTTTGAATTCCTGTAATGCTGGGTATTGGGGAAGGACAAGGTAATCTAACAAGACATGCTCCCGCAGCATTTACTTAGGAACCGGCTGTGTGTTGAGAGGGTAAGTTTGAAAGCTTCCTTTGACAGGCCAGGGCCTGGCATTTCCTGCACCCTGGCCCTGAGGCCGGACATGAGTCTGACTTCCTAGTAAAGTTAGTTTATGTCAGTACCAGCAAACACAGGTCCGTTGATAAAACCCAGCTGTTTATGCAAAGAACTGGAACTTTTTATAGGTACATAAAGACCAACGTCACTGGAAATTAGCACTGAAATAGTTTGTAGGAGCCAAACCCAAGGTTAAAACAAGATTTGGGAGAATTGCAATTGTTACCTCTGTAGTAACGGTTAAAGGTCTACAATGTTCAGGACAGGAATCCTTTCAGCAGGTAGCTAGTGCGCCCCCTACCTTTTGCTGTGTGACCTGTCCCCTCTGGTCTTCGTAGACCAACAATCTAGCCATCCTACTGTGTTTCTTTAAAAACAGCTCCAAAAAATTTTTTTTCAACAAGAAACAGTTCACAGGTTATTCCTAAAGTTTTCTTCATGCCAATTCAATTTTTAAAAAATTTCCCACAACGCCTAGTGCGGGCCCCTGGCCCCGGCGACGTTGCGCGTTGCGGATTGGCTGATGCTGGGCTCAGGGCGTGGCCAGTAGCTGGCCCTGCATCGGCTGGGCAGTCGCCATGACCGGCTCCTTGCATTACCCGTTGCTGCTTGTGTGCTCACTGGGGACCCTGGCCAGCAAACTCAACGTGCCGCAGGTGTTGCTCCCTTTCGGCCGGGAGCCAGGCCGGGTTCCCTTCCGGCTGGAAGCGCAGCGGGGCTGCTACACTTGGTGAGGGGCCGTGGGGCCCGCCGCCTGTGCCCCCACGCCATCCACTGCGGAGGGGGGCGTCCGCCTGAAGGCCTGAAGGGGATGTCGTGTGGCCACTTGAAGCCAGTCTTGTCGGGGGTGGGTGGGTGGGCGGGGAGCCAGACCCTGAGGAAGGTTAAAGCATCTTCATTCTGTGGACGTGGGAGAGGAATTTTCAGGACATGAGATCAGCCTGTCCGTTGCCCCCGTGTTGGGAGAGGTAGTCGCAGGAGGCCCAGCGACCAGGGCCCAGCGAAGCCTCTTGGTGGGAGGCAGCGGGTATGGATGGCTACTCCGTGCGAAGGCTTCCCATGTAAACTTCGGATGAGGGGGATTCCAGAGGATGAGGAAATTTTTATAATAGAGAAAGCCTTGGGGTAGGAGATCTCCATGACATAAATAGCTAATATTGAGCTCTCCCCTTAAGTGCTTGGTGTGTAGTTTTATGAAGTGTTACTTATACTTGACCCAGGAGGGAACAAGCCACAGACACTGTGAAATAGGACAAATTCATCTTGAAGATGAGCTCTCCCCAGAATGTGAGGGCTCCCCTCTTTAGCTAGTGGCCTGCACTTGAAGTGAGAGCCCGAGGGGTGCTCGCCGTGGGGGTGATGGCACCCTGACTTGAGTGTCAGAGTCAACCAGCCTCTGACAGCCGAGGGGCCTGCAGGCACAAGGGTGCCGTTATAATATGTAAAGGTCATAAGAAAGTCACAGAGAAGGGGAGAGGTAGGCGAGAGGAAAATAAAGGAGTCACACAGTTCATGGTAGCACGCTCACCTCCTGGATGGCCATGATCTCAGCAGCCAGGCCCGCACAGAGAGTCTTTACTGTCTTGGGATATTTGTAGGTAGCCAGAAGACATGCATATTCAGTAGGTACATACGTCACAAGGTGGGTGGTCACCACGGAAAAGTCCCTGAGCTCACAGGTGAGGAAACCTAATACCTGCACTGGGGGAAGGCATGAGGGGGGATGCATGCCACGGTGGGAGGAAATGACCAGAGAATGTCTGCTTCTTCAGGGAGCTAGAATCACCCATGTGCTCACTTTAAGGCAGCAACGCTATTAGGGGAGAATCTGTGGGAGTGTTAGTTAAAGTAGGATCGTGTCCTTGGGTTTTATCTCTAACTTACCAAAGTGGTGGCTTTCCTACCGTGGAATAATGCTAGCTTTCCCGATTCCCTCTGTTATCAGTTAGGGAGTATCATCCCAGTCATATTGCCCTCAGAGTCAGTTTCCCACAACCGAGGATGGAAAGAGAAAACCTTCAGGTGAGAGAGATCCCAAGACAGGTGGTGAGCTCACCAAAGGTGCGAGGGAGGTGAAGTAAAATGAGTGGCAGGATACGGAGGGCCCTCCGCCAGCTGCCAGAGAGGAGGTTCGGACTCAGGGGCACTCCGCGGGGCCAGAGTTTTGAAGACTGATTTCTCCAAAAACACCATCAACCCTTCCTTCTATAGAAGCTTTGGGTGGAGTCAAACCCCCACGTTTTGTTAGTGGTGGAGTGCATTGTTTCATGCAGGGACGCCAAGTGCACTCTTAGGCACGGTAGATGTCCCTTTGGCCCTCTCCCAAGAGAAGCCATGGTATATCTTCGGAGCATACAAAGTTTCCCTCCCATTTACTGAGGAAGGATAAAGGACTCAGGCCGGTGTGGTGGCCTTCTGGACTGTGAGCATGAAGCTGTTCCTTCCAACCAGCTAAAAAAAAAGCCACTTTTTGTTTTTTAAGTTGGACACACATTTCATTATTTAGGGGACTCTTCCAACTGAGATAGCAGGTTCCTAACTTCTGATGAGAAATTCCAGAAAATATGTCATTTATCCTATTCTGGCATCCTGAAGGAAGAAAATAGCATTCATCTGATTTTAAATATTGAAGCAAAGTGTGGTACACTTCGGTGAGGACGCCAAGGTCCCGGGGGAGTATATGCTTTGAGCTCTCTTAGACTCTTATGTGACTAAGCTGTGTTCCTGCTCTGAAGTGTTTTGTTCCGACAGGCATTCCACCCACCATGATGCAGTTACTGTTGAACCTTTATATGAAAATGGCACCTTATGTTCCCAAAAAGCTCTCCTTATTGCTGAATCCACCCAGCCGATACGCCTCAGCAGTATTATCCTTGCTCGAGAGAGAGGTACGTTGAGAGAAAATGCTGAGGTGGAATAATCGGATATTTTATGTCATTGGAGTCTAGAGCTTAAATTCTGAGCACCCTGCTTTGCAAAAGGGTATGGACAGCAGTGGCAGCCCCAAATCCATGTATGTGTGTCCCCACAGAGAGTGAGCCCCCATTGAATGCTTTCTGATCTCTAACCAAGGATGTAGATCAGCGGTTCTCAACCTTCCTGATGCTGCGATCCTTTCATACAGTTCCTCATGTGGTGGTGACCCCCAACCATAACATTATTTTCATTGCTACTTCTTCACTGTAAGTTTGCTACCGTTATGAATCGGGCGACCCCTGGGAAAGGGTTGTTCCGACCCCCAAAGGGGTCTCGACCCACAGGTTGAGAACTGCTGATGTAGATGCTCTTACACTCAGGGAGAATGCTTTAGGGAGTAGATTGCCTCCACCCTTCTCTGGCCACCCTGGGGAGGGACAGTCTCTCTCAGGGGCTTGCCTAGGTGGGTCCTAGATGGAGGTCACCGTACAGAGGACTGGGGTTGCCACATAATCTTGAGTTGTGCCCAATCAGTTTGGCCCTGGCAGCCTGGGTCAGAAGGCCCTGCACCCATCTTCTCATCACCCCTTCTATCTAGTCACCGCCCCGCCCCTGCTCCATAGACCCGCCTCTTACTGTGATGTGTTGACCTACCACCAGTCATGCTTTTGTGATTTTCCTCCCCACCCCCACTCCACCCATCTCGAGTCTCGATTGTGAGCCCTCAGACAGACGCCACTTCACCCTCGGGTGGGCGCGCTCCTTCAGCCGGATGAGGAATTAATCACCCGAAACTAGCTCAGGTGTTCAGGTCTGAGAGGGATTTTGAATGAGGCAAAAGTCAGTCTCAATGCTGCCAGGTGCCATGGACTTGATTCCAGCTCACGGCAGCCCGTGCGGGCCGGTGCAGCTGTGCCCTCAGCGTCTGCAGCGGCTGGTTTTCCTGATGTAGGTCCCTCTCCAGGCTTTGTTTTCGAGGCCCCTCCAGGCGGACTCACATTTCTAACCTGTGTGCTGCAGCTGAGCATGTTAATTACGTGCACCACCTTGGGGCTCGGTGTTACAAGTGGCAATTCTCAGGCCTCCCCCGAGATCTGCTGTGTCCGAATATCTGGGCTGGACTCAGGGAACTTTATGTGGGCACGTCTTACGCAGACTCAAGTTTGAGAGCCACTACGTTCGTCCAGGGCAGCTCTGGAAATATAGTGTGTTTCCAGATAAGGTAAAGACCCTGCCTTCCTGGGTTTGCCAAGAGCCCTTCCCATAGTTGGCACTTCATTGCCCGACCCAGAGGCCGGAGATGTATAAACAGCTTTACATCTTTTGGTAAGTGATAGCAAAAGGCTGTAATAGGCTGTGAATGACAAGGTCAGGGTGCTTTGAAACAACAACAACCAA